TGGGAGAGAGACACAAAGGGGAGTGTGTGTGTGTGTGTGTGTGTCTGAGTGTGCAGAATGGTGTGGGAGCACGTGGGCGGGGTGAGTGTGCAGAATGGTGTGTGTGTGTGTGTATACACAGACGGGGTATGTGTGTGTGTGTACACAGACTGGAGTGTGTGTGTGTAGACTGGCATGGGTCTGAGTGTGCAGAATATTGTGGGTGCACATGGTGTGTGAGAGAGTGTGCAGAATGTGTGTGTACACAGACTGGTGCGTGTCTGAGTGTGCAGAATGGTATGTGAGCATGTGTGTGTGTAAATACCAGAGTATTGGAGTATGGTGAGATAGGTGTGAAAACCAGTATAGCGTGTGAGAGCAAAGCAACAATGTGTGTGTGAGAGAGAGAGGGAGAGAGCACTGTATGTTTGTGATGCAACAGAGTATTGTGTGTGAATGAAAAACACTTGTGTGTGTCTGTGTGTACATACCATGCCCTGGAGGGAAAGGCTGGTAGGGGGAGGATAAAGAGCCCCTAATGTAACAGGTTCCAAACACTGGGAGTTCCTTTAATTCCTAGTTGTGACTCATACAATGTTAATGTTGAGAGCAATTTATAACAGGAGGTCTAAAGATGACCACGCTGTATTTTGGACAATGTTTGGTTGTTGGGTTAGCAGACAAGTCAATGCAATCTGAATGGCCTGCTGTAAAATCAAGTCCCATCAAGTCAGTGCCAGTGTGATAAAATCTGTTGTTCTCAAATCTGAAAGTTGCAAAAGGAGCTCTGCAAAAGAGCTGTGGTTGGTATATCTCTGTGTTGAAAGCTTTGGCTGTGATTAAGAAGAGAGGGCAGAGAGCTCATATCCTGAGCATGGAAGTCAATGGAACTATCCCGCAGGTCCAGACCATTGTGTATATTTATTTCCCACCCATGAAAACGAGACACTGCCCTAAGCACATAAGTGCATCGTTGGCCTAACTAGAGGCTATGAGTCACCACTCGTGTCTGTGCAAGACCTAGAAAGAAGCAAGATGCCGAGATGTTTTCCTTGTTATTTTGGACACACTAAATATGGAATGCCCAGCTTTGTTAGAAAGGATTGAGCTGTTCATGTAGTGAATTTCAAAATCCTTGTCAGGTTTGCAGATCTGACCGAGTCGCACGGCTAGGCTGGGGGCCCTGGTAGCATATTGCAGTTATTTACTAAAACACTGCTGATAGATGAAGATTTTCCGTACCAATGGACAGTAACTCTGAGTGCCGCAGATCGCAGCCTAAGGATCTTGGCCTTAGGTACAATGTCTCTGGATAGAGATGTGTGTAACTGCTTGCTATGCCAGATGAACAGCTGTGCACTTTCTGTGTAGGAACCTGATCCAAAGCCTATCATAGTGAATGGGAGTCTTTTCATTGCTGCCAGCAAGCTCTGGATCAGGCCCTTAGCCTGGCCCAGTTGGATTGATTGCAAATTGGGCCCTAGAAGTTTAGGGCCAGATCTGCATGTTTCTCATTCATCCTCCCCACCCCTCCTCCTCCCGCAATGTTCCCCAATCTCATAGCACATCCTTACCCCTCTTGCTCTGTCACAAGAATCAGAAGTTCCATGTGCTTGTGGACATCCATCCTGTAATGCCAACCCACCGTCTATTCTCTTCTATCAAGAGCACAAGGGGCAGTCGCCACAAAACTAAAGCATTCCCTCTAGGTTTCTCTCTCCTGTTGGGCAGGCCAGGGCAATAATCCTGCTGCTTTGGCCTAGGGAGCGTAGAAGTTCCTTTGTTCCGGATAGCACGCCTGTCATCAATTGTTTGTCTTGTGGAATAGTGGAAAGTGTGCTTAAAACAAAAGCCATGTTCTCTGCAGACTCCTTCCCTGCTCACCACCACCCTCACTGCACCTGATCACTGGGGCTGTCACTCACCCGGTACCAAATTTACCTCCCTCCCCCACAAATCTACCATCACTTCCAGGAAGACGTCTGTAAATTATGTATATTGGCCATATGGAAACATCATACTTAGGGCCAGATGCTGGTGTCCTTATTCCACTGTCCTCACTGAGAATATCTGTGATATGATGCACTCTTCTATACCAGGGTAGCAGCATCCAGGCCTGAGGTTATAGAAAACTCAGTATATTTTAGTGGATAAATCCAGTGCCATCTCCAGCTTCTTCTTTGGGTATTATTTATATGACTGTAGCATCTAGGAGCCCTTGTCTTGGGCAAGGAGCTGCTTGTGTGAGGTGATGTACAAATGTTGGTGTGTATTTTCCTCATTTGGGGATCTTTATCTCACCTTTCTCAGGCAGTGTCACACATTTAAAAACTGGGTGGGGGGTTGGGAGTTATGTACATAACTTTTATATAGGGGTTTTCATTTGTGCATCTCACCGCACTTTGCCATAGTAAGCATTGTCCCCCTTTCGTAGATCGGGAAACTGAAGTATGAAGAGGTGAAATTATTTGCCCAGGGTCACTCAGTACCAGAACTGGGACCAGAACCCTGATCTTTGAGAGGTAGCTGTCTGCTTGACCATTTCACTGTGCATTTGTCAGCAGCAACGTGAAAGACCTACTCATGCCTCTGACCGGAGTGGGAAGAGAATAGGACTGGCAATCAGTCTTGGGTAGCCATGCAAATTTTCAAAAAATGCCTAAGGAATTTAGAAGCATGTGCCCTTGGGACTTAGGTTCCTAAGACACTTAGGGAGAGATTTCCAAAGGAGCCCAAAGATACAAATCAATGCCCAGCCGGAGTTAAATATCTGAAAATATTGTGCTTGAAAGAGTCGCTCTACAGCTCTAAGGTCTGATGTTGAGGAGCTGAGCTCAGACATAACAGCAGATTCTCAGGTGCCTCTGAAAAAATCAGGTCCACGGTGGCTCAGTTTGTTGTCCATTTGGCAAGGAAGTAACGAGGCCAACATCGCAGAATGTGGGGAGGCTCAGTCGGTGTTTGTGAAGTGCTTTGAGAGTCTTAGGAAAAACTGTCTAAGTGTTGTTATCAACATCATAAGAGGCTAATGATGGGTGGCAATCAGAGATAGGAACTGCATAAGCTGTTTATTACGTGGGCTGTTGTCAAATGGCAGCTTCATTCCAGATTGCTTTGATTTACACTTTCCACCGCAGCTGCAGAAATTAGCAGAGATTTGTCTGGAGCCTGGGTTGGAAAAAGAAACTTTCTTGCTCCCCCTTCATCCCACCACTCCCTTAGCCTGAAGTGCTCAGCCTGCCAATGAATGGCCATGAATTAAAGCCGTGAAGTTCCAGGAGGTTAATGATTCCCATTGTTGTGGCATAAGCGAACTGCAAAATCTCTGGTTTTCAGTCCAAGAGACGAGATATACCATTTCCCCCCATCTCACTGCGGCCGGGGCAACAGAACCACCCTGTCACACGCAGAGCCGAAAGCCAAGTTCATGGGAATTTAGCACAACAAGGCAAGATTGGCTCACCCCCATCACAGTCCCACCTCGAGCAATTTGCTATTTTCCTCTATGCTCTGCTAGCACATTTGACACATGGCAACCACCGTAAGTGAAATAAATGGATCCCCCACAACACAGGCTATATCAGTGCTGGAAGAAACGGAACGATCCATGCATGAGCCAGCCTGGCCAATCCTGCTCCCATTGAACTCAAAGGGAATCACAATCCAAGCAGGCCCCTTTACAGGCAGGCTTTCATTTTGTAGTAGAATCAAGTATTTTAGTTGGGGAGTTCCTCTTCCCACCATGTATTAGAGAGAGAATTGAAAGGGACATTTTTAGGAACTGATTCTGCACCATTGATAAGGCTGTGATGGCGAGTTGAGGTTCCTCCGATCTTGCAGCAGCAAGAACAGACTCCACCAGCCAGTAGAACAGAGGGGGTTTATTGCTTCTCCAGGATACAGCACAGCATAGACGTGATGTGGTTACAGGAGTCTGGGCTCAGCCCCCTGGAGATGGGGTCCCAGGGCCCCTACATTCCAGCCCCCTCCTTAGTCTGTTTCCTTCATGATTCCAGCCCAAGACTGCCTCGCTCCCAGACCTTGCCCCCCAACCAGGTGTTCTTCTCTGCCTCCCTTCCTTTGTCTCTCCCCTGGGGAAAGAGCCTTGTTATCTGGTCAGGCTGATCCTAAGTGTCTGGGCTAAACACATGTGGGTGAGTCAGTGGGAATCACACATCATAGTGCAGGGGGACACCGGGTTACAGAGCAGACTGCACCCCCACTACATCACAACGGCTCACCTTGGTTTCAATGGGAGTAGGCTGGGTCAGATCTGAAGCTCATTGAAATCAATGGAAACACTCCCCTTTGACTTTGACAGGAGCGAGATTAGACTTTTACTGATTAGTTTTAGGGGGGCTGGGGTAGCAGACTGAACAGCACCATGAAGTTGCGGCTCTTGAAAGAAAGGTAAAGTACGCTCTGGTCAGCTGCTCCAATGGTAGCTCTCATGGTATGTTCTCTGCAGCATTGTGAATAAAACAAGGATACATGCACCTGGGCCTTGTTTAGCCTGCCTGTGTCATGTCTTTTTAACAGCTCCTGTGAGTTGGCTGGGCAGGCGGGAGGACAGATTGTGTGGCTAGCAGAACAAACCAGACCTAATCCAAAGATGAGAGGAAGGGGGCGAGTTTCTGTTGACTCCAGTGTGCTTGGCATCAGGCCCATGCTGAAAAGTGAGTTAAAACAGCAAAGCTACACTAGAGAAATAGCCCATTGCAGTGTCATTGTGAAGTGAGCAAGTTACTGGCTCTTCAGATACCATCAGCTGGTTCAGAAAAGGATTGTCAGGAAAGGGACCTTCAAAGGAATTCTAATGCAACCCACTAAGTAACTTCGTTGTTACCTGCTACTACTAATTAATGCTTAAAAATCTATCTATTTTCACACATGGAGCCTATTGCTGTGGCCTAGTGACCAGTCCATTGTCTGAGACCATAATCCATTGAAACTTTAGGAAATAAGCAATTGCCTGTTCTCCAGCCTGATCTGAAAGCGTTGGGCATAGGGGGGAGACCCCCTGTGCCCTTGTCGAATGTCACCCGGTTGCTCTCAGGAGGAGTATCCATCTGCCACCCAGTCCCAACTCAGGTGCTGAAATCCAGCTGCAAATGCGAAGACACCAGTGGGACAGGTTCTCAGCTGGACTCCATGAAAACCAGTGCAGAGCAGGACCAGTTTACAGCAGCCGGGGACGTGGCCTTAAGTAAGAAGCACACACCCAATCCTGCACCCCCTTGGCCAAGTTCTGCTTTTCAGTTGCAAAAGTGAAGTGGCTCCACTTAAATCAGTGGAGTCACTCCAGATTTACAGTGGGGGAGCTGAAATCAGGATCAACTCCATGCTGTACCTGGGACTCCAACTGGTTTCTAAGGGAATTCCATGCATCCATGCAGGATGGAGCCCTCAACCTGTACCCAGCATGCCGCTCACATTCCAGACTGACTGAGGGGGCCTGGGAAATGAACCTGCATGCCTGTGTAGGTGGGGGGCAGGAGGAAGGGGAGCAAGGAAGGAGAAAAGTGCCCCCCTCCACTTTTCCACAGATATGTGAAATCCAGGAAGCAGGGAGGGCAGGAGCAGGCACTGGCCAGCAGAGATAAGCTAGTGGCAGGAGGGGTCACACGCTGACTGCACTGTGTGAGAGAAGGTAGCAGGTATCACCAAGACCTGTGCCTTGCCTGCTTACACTGAACCACTGTCCCTATATGGCTGGGATGAGGCTGCTGGGGACAGCTCTGCTGTTCACCTTCCCCTCATACCCTCCTCCTAGTCCTTAATCCCAGGGACATCCTAGGCCTGGCTACGCTAGCATGAGGGACGGAGTGCAAGGCTCTCCTCCGTTACTTGGCCTCGCAGGGTATGGACCATCTTAGTTCTGGCATCTCCTGAGCACAAAGTGCCAGTGATGTGGTGGATTCCCAGGCTGGGTACTTGTAAAGCAGACAGCAGGCCCCTGGCGGATCCCTCCCACTCTGGGCTAGCTAGCAGAGCTCCAAGGGAGGAGAGGTAGACAGGCAGCTGTGTCAACATGGGGCATAAAGCTCCTCCTGGGGTGTTGCCCTCTGCCGCTAGGACTGACCCCAAGTGGATGCACAGAGGAAAGGTCTCTGCAAAGTGCTTTCCAGACACAGCAGAATCCACTGGAAGTTGTGTAAAACTAGACCCCCAAAGGTTCTGTGATTCTCACCCACAGTCAAGAGAAATTCAAATGGGAGATGAACCTCCATGCCTGTGCAAATGGAGGGGGGGGGGGGTAAGGAAGAAAAGGAGCAGGAAGGAGAAAAGGAGGCTGGAGTTGGGTGAGACATGCCAATGTGCTTCTAGCCAAATCAGTAACATTTACTATGAGCACCCACTGCTTTTCTGTCTTACATTTTTGCAATTACCATTGTCCTGACATGAGATCTTTAAAGTACCCCTTGAAACACCTGGCAGCTACATAATTGTCTCTGGGAAGGCCCAACGCTTAATGACCCTGTCTGATATAATTACAGAAAATTAGTCTTGTTGACTTCCACTCCTGCAGGAGCCATGTGTTTCTCCGACTGCCTGATGCCCAATTTGCTAAGAGAACGTGTGGGTTGCAAAAGTGGGATTCCCAGAACTGCAGCGAAGGCTCTGGAAATGTTGCTCTTTTAACCCCACCCAGGCTCTCAAGGGATTGTAACTCCCCAGACTAAAAGGGGAAGAAAAGGTTACAGCCTCTGAGGAATAATTTTGAGACCCTCTGGCCTTTTCCGAGCTGCACAAGGCTATATAAGGAAGATCCACAGGGGATACGTGTTAGTGGGAGCCAAGCCAACGTACTTACTTAGGATTTAGTTGTGCCATGGCAACTCAGCCAGGCGTTGAGGGCCCCAGAATGCTTCTCCAAGCTTCTCAGGGCATGGTAAAGACAGCACAAACTGCCACACCTTTGGAAGGATACCACCCTCACCCCCATCTGATGAAGTGGGTTTTTGCCTATGAAAGCTTCTGCCCAGATAAATCTGTTAGCTGTTAAGGTGTCACACATCTCCTCATTGTACACACACACACACACACACACACACACACACACACAAAAGCTCCACTGGATGGTGCAAGACGGCAGCAAGAGGGAAGGCAAGTTCTGGCTCCACCTACATGCTAGCTCCACCCTATCTCCTTGGAGAACACAGCGCTGGCCCCGCCTACTTTCCATCCCCCCCTCCCCCTTTGGGGGCAGGCATCCGCAGGGGAATAATTAGGGAGCACCCCTCTGTGCCGCACAGAGGGCAGTGATAGCTCCAACTACAAACACCAGGAAGTCCAGCCCTTTGCTTTCTTCAGTCCTTACCAAGTCTTCATGCAGGAAACTCCCACAAGGTTCCAGCAGTGTTTGTCTGAGTACAGCCTAGTCTGTCCAAATTTGCTGGGTTCACTCGCTGTCTCTTTCAAAACTAAGCATTTCCAGTAGTGAGGGATGATGTCTGCTTCAGGAACCACTCCTCCTGCATGTGCATGTGCAGGCCTTGGCACACACCTGGAGGTGCAGAAACACACATCTACACGTGTGCACACGCAACCGTCAACACCCAAATACACGTGTTGGCACAGCCCTGTTCAGGCTCCCTCCATCAGACACTCCCCTGGCTGCTGTGTTTGGATCCTATCACTGCATGCAGGTGCTTTTCCATTTCCCTTGCTCTGCATAGACTCCAGCACAGTCTCTCTTAATCCAGCTGCATAGACATTGAAACTAGTGCCTCTCGCTCAGACTCCCCGGTAGCTCAAACACACCCCATCCAAGAGCTCTAAGCGTGTGAGCACTCTGACTTTTACTGTACCTCTTGGGCTATGTCTACACTGCAGGCTTCATGTGCAAGAACTTTTTACGGAAGAGATCTTCCGCAAAAAGTTCTTGCAGAAGAGTACGTCCACACTGCCATGTGCTTTTGCACAAGAGAGTGTCCACGCTGCCATGGACACTCTTGAGCAAGAAAGCTCTGATGGCCATTCACAGAATGGCCATTAGAGCACCTGTGCTTTTTCTGATAGGAGTTTCTTGCACAAGAAACTCCTGGTGTCATCCACACATGCCTTTTTGCACAAGAGTTCTTATGCAAAAAGGCTTAGAATTCCGAAGTGTCTCATTAGCATCCCTTTTACGGAAAAGGGTGCCAGTGTAGACACAGCCATACTGTAAAAACCCTCTATTCTGTCAATTCACTGTAAATTTTCTTGCGCAAAAATGCGCTTGAAGTGTGGATGCTCCACTAGTTTTTGCACAAAAATGTCTGGTTTTGCGCAAAAACTCTGCAGTGTAGATGTAGCCTTAGGGACAGAGGAGAGTGGAACCAAACAGGCCTAGGCTTAATAAGGGATTTCTAAGCCAACTCTTCTATTTAGACAGCACAAGCGATATACAGAGCTAGGCAAAATAAACACACCTGCAAGCTGTGGTGGGAGAGGTCCAGGTTGGATATTAGGAAAAACTATTTCACTAGGAGGATGGTGAAGCACTGGAATGGGTTCCCTAGGGAAGTAGTGGAGTCTCCATCCCTAGAGGTGTTTAAGTCTCGGCTTGACAAAGCCCTGACCGGGTTGATTTAGTTGGAATTGGTCCTGCCTAGAGCAGGGGGCTGGACTTGATGACCTTCTGAGGTCTCTTCCAGTTCTATGATTCTATGATAAGCCAATCTCTGCATTGGTTTCCTCACCATTCTTCAGCCTTCTTTGGGATGTGTTCAGAACCCAGTAAGCAGTCCAGGATCCTTCCTCTTCTATAGTGCCCATCTATAAAAAGGGAAATAAGAACAACCCAGGAAACCACAGACCACTCAGCTTAACTTCTTTGCCAGGAAGGATAATGGAGCAGGTAATTAAACATCTGCAAGCATCTAGAAGAAAATAAGGTGATAGGTAACAGTCAGCATGGCTTTGTAAAGAACAAACCACATCAAACCAATTTAATAGCTTTCTTGGGTAGGATAACAAGTCTTGTGGATAAAGGGGAAGTGTTGGACGTGGTATACCTAGACTTTAGTAAGGCATTTGATACAGTCTCGCATGACCTTCTTATCAATAAACTAGGCAAATACAATGTTGATGGAGCTACTATAAGGTGAGTGCATAGCTGTCTGGACAACCGTTCTCAGAGAGTGGTTATTAATGGCTGGGGGCTGAGGTTCCCTTCCAACCTGGTTCTTCCAAAGCATGGAACCCCCTCTCCTCCTTTAGTGATTGTATCGGAAAGAGAGCGCCTCCTCATTGTCCTTCAGCGTCCGCCTCTCTATCCCGGCGCTGCCGCACACAGGAAATAATCACATCAGTATCGCCTCATTACCAGGGCGACATGGTGTTACATGGTTCAAGAGCAGTGCCATATTCCATTAAACCTCTTAGCACTGAAATCATTAAGCGAGGGGAAGGGATTCTCAGCAGCTGGACATCAGGATCAGTCAAAGCTTCTTTTCTCTTAGGAACTAGGGAGCTGACATTTATGAGCTAATTAGAGGAAGGGAAAAGATCATAAAGCTGAATTTTACAGAGCTGAAAAAAAACCCCAAGAGAATAATGGGCTGGATGCTCTGAGTGATCCTTGCTGTGACAGGTCCCCCACCAATGTAAATCAGGGATGATCTATTGACCTCAAAAGAAATATGCTGATTTACATCAGCTGAGAATCTGGCCTCTTCATTTTTATGAAGTCCATGTATCCCGCAGCTAAGGAAAAGGCTTTGAGTGTAGGGCCATGTGATACCACCACACTATCCTTGGTAGGACCATTGGGGGGGAGTTGTGGTGAGCAACTTTTGCACCCCAAACTTGTGAAGGGAGGCTGGTGCAAGGCAGTTACCCCATCCACCAGCACTCCCACTGTGCAGTCAAGATGGGGATACTGCAGGGATATTTGATTCCACTTCTCTGCAGCCTTTGGGGAGAATTAATTCTGCCCCCACCCTGCACACACACATCCATCCGGCTCCCAGTAAAGGCGAAGCTCTGATTGACTCTAATGGGTGCATGAGCGGGCTCAGAAGGGCACAGCCCAGTTGCTGGACCCAGGCTTTGGCTGCACCCAAACATTTTCCTGTAGAGCCCAGAATTCCAGAAAGCCAGAAGCACATTTACTCAAAATGTGCAAAGCCACCAACCCACTTCTGCCTTTTACTTTCTGGTTCGGCAGCGACCCTGCTGCTTCTCTGATTGACTCTAATGGGTGCATGAGCGGGCTCAGAAGGGCACAGCCCAGTTGCTGGACCCAGGCTTTGGCTGCACCCAAACATTTTCCTGTAGAGCCCAGAATTCCAGAAAGCCAGAAGCACATTTACTCAAAATGTGCAAAGCCACCAACCCACTTCTGCCTTTTACTTTCTGGTTCGGCAGCGACCCTGCTGCTTGGACAAGCCAGGTCATCAATGCCACCTCTGCCCTGTGGCCAAGCTGGGTACAGTCCTACACTTGAATCCCACCTCCCCCAACCTCCAACATGGGCTTTAAATATCGGTGCGGGTGCTGATGGCCCCATTTGCAAAGACAGTTGGCAAGCTGCCTACCCAGGCCCAGCAATGAAAGCTGAAAGTACTCAGCTCTTGCAAAAGTCAGACCCCAGCTGTGTTAGCTCCCCACATTCCTTCCCCTGCCAGGATTCCCAGGGTGCAGTGCACATAGGGCCTTGGGTTTAGTGCATCCTGGGAGTGAGACTCAGCATGCTTGTGAATCTGATTTTATGAGGACGCAGTGGATCATTCCCCTCAAACTCTCTTGTTCCCCCCATCCTTGTTTCTCCCTGGTGATAATCAAGGCTTCACGTTCTCCTCTGTCATGAGATGAAAACTGCTCTTTGAGGGTGGCCCCACATTCTGTCTCCTGTCAGCGGGTGGAGGCTCTGAGCTTGGTGTGCGGCACTAGTGCGCTAAGCCAGTTCACCAGCTTGAAACCCCCAGGGGCAGAGAGTGTTGTGAGAATGTGTCTTGCAACAGGGACTGCTGTTGTCCAGGGCAGGGCCAGCACGAGCCATTTGTGCGCCTCAGGCTCCGGGGGCACGGCGCATGCAGGGCTCTGCCCCCAGGCACGCGGCGCCTCCTGCCCCCGGGCGCCTGGCGCATGCGTGGCCCTGCCCCCGGGTGTGTGGCGCGTGCGTGGCCCCGGGCGCACGGTGCATGCGTGGCCCCGGGCGCGCAGCGCATGCGCGGTGCCACCCCCGCCCAGCAGCCCCGCGCAGCACTCCCTACAATGGGGCTCCCCGGGCAGTAGCCCAGTCAGCCCGTACCTTGGGCTGGCTCTGCTCAAGGGTATGTCTACACTATAGAGTTTTCTCAGAAAAATGGCCGTTTTTCGGACAAAACTTGAGGAACGTCCACACGGCAATTGCTTTGCTCTGCAAGAAAGTCAAAAGAACGGAGAAGTTTTTCCGGCATGGCTGATCCTCATTCTACGAGGAAGAAGCCTTTTGGCGAAAGAGCTCTTTTGCAAAAAGGCGGGTGTGGGCGGGGAAGAGGGAGTTGTTTTGGAAGAAGAGGGAAGAGGAAAAAGCACAGGTGCCCTGGTGACCATTCCATCCATAGCAATCACAGCTTACATGCGAGAGAGCATCCATCCAGTGTGGACCATCTTTTGAAAAAGCAGATGGCTTTTTTATGCACTTTTGTAGCGTGGAAGCTCTCTTGAGCAAGACATTTTTTCCGAAGATCTCTTCTGAAAAAAGCTTCTGAAAGAAGCCTGTAGCCTAGACATAGCCTCACAGTCAGCGAAACCGGTTACGGCTCCCCCCTCTGACTGTGCTGCAGAATTGGCCAAAGAGCTCTTGCTACAAAACCTTGGGAGGAGGAGTCCCTGGGCAGTTGGACAGGCCAGTCAGGTGCTGGACATGCCACTGGGCAAGCCTGGTGGAAAAGCACTGACCCAAAGGCAGCAGCCATCATGAACGTGGCAATTCCACTCCCCTGCACCCTGGGGAGACACACAGAACCCTGCACCCTCCAGAGACCACAGAGCTGCAGTCACTGCTGGGGCCCTAACCCAGCTTTTCTGCAGGGGAGGGTGGGAGACTCCTCCAGCCTGGCCCCAGCCTCACCTCCCCCCAATCCCTCCCTGTGGTGTGGAACTTGGCACTACGCAGAAGATGTGCACCCCCACTTGCATGGAACCACTATGCGGCTGCCTGCATAGAGCCAGGCAGGATTTGCTCCTGGATAATATATGAAAATCCATACACCTGCCTGTGCATATTCATAAGGCCAATTTGTTCAATGACCCACCAAAGCTTTCGGGGGGGGGGGGTGATTCAGTCGGACATGCCCACAGCTCCCACATACTCCCTTCCTGCAGGGACAGTTTTACTGCTGGTATAACGGGCAGGGCTCTGTTACACCTGCTTACACCAGGCCTGACTTTGGCCCAGAGTGTTTTGCAGGGTGCTCGCGATTTGCTGATCACCATGTAATGAGCTAAATAAGGTTGAATGGGAAACAATAATTAATGCACAGCTGACATTAAGACAGGTGTTTACAGGCTTCCCTAAGCACATCAGGAATGGGTACGCTTCAATTTCTCTGGATTCACCTGGTACGTGGATACAGCGAGACGCTCGCGCTGGTTCCTAGATGAAAATGTTTCCGACCAACTGCTGTTAGGAAGGCTAGTGAGACAGGAGGGTCTTTTGTCATGGACACTTGACTCCCTCTGGCTTGAGTTTCCACCTCAGCCACAGACTGTGTGTGACTCAGGGGTGTCACCTGGGGCCAGGTTGTCAAAGCAGCCCACACACCTGGTTTTTATCAAGTGCTTTTCCCCACTGACACAGCCCGGCCTTCTGAGTCCCAGCTTAGTGTTCTACGCTACCCTGGAATAAACTGGGGGAGGAGGGACAGAGGAGTGGGGACTGCCCCCCCCGAATAACCTCAACGGGGCACAAAGAGGGGAAATAAAGTAAAGCCTAACCACTGCTCTTGTGCGCTAGCTTTGGAACGGGCTTGCTCAGGTAAACCGAGGCAAACTTACTCATGGGTCTGCAGGCTGGGAACTTGCTGCTTTAGTCCACTGCAGCAAAGCAGAGCCTGGGGGAGACGGCAGTGCTCCCACTCACACCCCTGCATGCAAGGGGAGGGCAGATGCTATCCCATAATGCTTTGGGTAACCCTGTTAACCCTAGCCTGACTAGAACCCCAGGCTGCCTTGGCCTTACCCCTGTGGACAGTGGCAGGAGAGAGACCAGAGCTAAGCAGAGGACAGAGCCTGGGAGACAAGGAAGCGCTGCTGCTTGGCTGGCTCTTTCTGTCTTGCCCAGGGTGCCAGAATTTTACCCCCACGTTGCCCGGGGTAAATGGCTGTGCGGGACAGAGGTGGCAAGAGCCAGCCCTGCTAGTTTTTAAGCTGCTGCATTTTAAACCAAGAGTAACTTTTAAAAAGTGAATTCTGTGCTGGGCTCACCTGGAGCCTTTTCATTATTTACCCCAGAAGAACAGGTGCTACATGAGAACGGCCGTACTGGGTCAGACCAAAGGTCCATCTAGCCCAGTAGCCTGTCTGCCAACAGTGGCCAGCACCAGGTGGGTGGACCGAAGACCCACCGGCCCCAGCCACTAAACCTTCATTCTGACTGGGAGGGACCTCTTCTGGAGGGGACACTTCGCTTTCCCCCTGCCTCTGGGCAAGCCTGAAGCTCTAATGGTGACAAAACATCGGCTGGTTTTCCGTCCTCCTTTCCTTAGGAGTCTGCAGCCTTCCTAGTCCCTCTCCCCAAATTCTGTTTCATTCAATCCACTGCTGATTCACTGTGTCCTCAGCCATCAGAGTTAGCAGCCGGAGCAGGGTTGTGTTCTCCACCTGGGGGATCAGAGGCGAACCTCGGACTGGAACATCCAGCCAGCAGGGATGGGAATATGGCCCCTGCCCC